GGAACGGCACCACAATACTGGGGGGCTTACCCGGTTCACGGGGACGATAGAAAGGACCCTTTCACTCCCAATAAAATGACAAATAAACGCCGCGAAGAAAGAGCGGAAAATTCGGGGCAACCAGCCAGAAAGCAGAACGGAGAAAAAATCATCGCATCGAACAACAAGGGGGGGGAAAGGGGGAGGGGCCCCATCTATCCCCCATCTTTCCCCCGTACCAGGCGCCCCAAGGGCTGCCTGCTCTACGGCCCGCCCGGCACCGGCAAGACGCTGCTCGCGCGCGCCGTCTCCAACAACATCGACGCCGCCTTCCTCAAGGTCGTCGCGTCGGCGATTGTCGACAAGTACATCGGCGAGTCGGCGCGGCTGGTCCGCGAGATGTTTGGCTACGCGCGCGACCACGAGCCCTGCATCATCTTCATGGACGAGATCGACGCCATCGGAGGGCGGCGCTTCTCGGAGGGGACTTCGGCCGACCGCGAGATCCAGCGCACTCAACCCAGCTGGACGGCTTCGACGGCCTGGGTAAGGTCAAGATGATCTGCGCGACCAACCGGCCTGACGTGCTCGACCCGGCGCTGATGCGGCCGGGCCGGCTTGACCGCAACCAAGATCGAGATCCCGCTGCCAGGCGAGTCGGCGCCCATCACCAAGAAGGGCGACATCGACTACGAGTCCGTCGTCAAGCTTGCGGACGGCTTCAACGCCGCCGACTTGCGCAACGTCTGCACCGAGGCGGGCATGTTTGCGATCCGCGGGGAGCGTGACTATGCGGTGGAGGAGGACTTTATGAAGGCGGTGCGCAAGGTGGGCGAGAGAACAAGAAGCTGGAGGGCAAGCTCGAGTACTCGAAGCAGGGCTGGTGGACTAACGTTAACACACCTCAGGGGCAGCACTGACTACAGATCGTGTCAACACTTGGCGCAAAGGTCGGTGTTAACACAGTTGAACGGCAGTCCCAAAACAAGCGTTAACACAGCCGTTAATACGGTGTTGACACACGCACCTCTCTAGAGGCAGTCCTCCGCCTTGTGCTCATACTTGATGGGGGCGGCGGCCGGGTGGGCCTGGCGCCCGCGCTTGCTGCCCTTTACGAGCTCGTGAAACTCCTTGAGGATCTCCTGCACCGGCACCTCCCACGCCTTCATGTTCCGCTCGTGGTAGTGCCAAAACATCAGGTTCGCCAGGTTGCGCTGGCCGAGGCAAGAGCGCTCGGACGTCTTGATGTCGTTCATCAGGGAGAAGATGCGCTCCGCCTCCGACGTGTCGAGTGGGATCAGCAGCATGATGGCGACGAGGCGGAGCGCAGACATGTACTCCCCCGAAAAGGTGACGAGCATGTGCGACCACAGCGACTTGAACGGCCTCGTCCTTGTCGCACTCGGCCTCGAACCAGGCCTCCTTCTTGCCGGCACAAGGCTTCCACCGGCCCGCTGGCTCGCCGTTGCCGTTCATCGTGCTGCGGTCAGCCTCAGAAACGCTCGCCGCAGTTGGCGCGTCGGTGGCAACGCTCCGCGGGAAACGAGCTGCTTTTGGTAAAACGGAGAAACGCGTTCGAGGTGGGGGCGCGCCTCCTTACGGTTACGGACGGCGGGTCAACACCTCCCGAGGGGCGGTGTTAACACGTTTGAACACCTCTACGGCTGTGGTGTTAACCGTTAACGTTTGAACACCGTGTTAACGTTAGTCCACCAGCCCTGGAAGGTCTGAGCGCGCCAGAGCCGCCAGAGCCGCGGTCGTCCACGACGGACGACGCACCGGAGACCCGAGAGCGTGCGCTCTCGCCGATCTCGTACATGGCTCACAACAGTAATTGTTTTTTCACGTGTATTGCAACATAGCTTCTCACTGAATAAAGCCGTACGCAACCCTCGCTCCTCGCTGGCCGGTGCGCGGTGGGGGCCAGTGCCGGCCTGGGAGTGAGGTTGGCGCGCGGCCGTTGCCAACTGCACTCCAAGTGCTCCAAGTGCCGCGCCTGGCACAATCATTGAGAACAATCGCCGGAGCAATCGCCGGCTCACTCGGGAATATCAATAGAGTATGGGAAGTGATGAGATTTCTCACCGCATTCTTTTACTTCACTTGCGCCAGCCCTCACACGAGGCGGATGCGCGAGGAGTCAATCCACAGCAGCACCGGCTCTCGGCAGTAGGGACAAGCGGGCATCCTCTCGGAGCAAGGGCCACATGCGCACTGATGTCCGCACGGCATCGCGGCGTGCGACTTTGGCCGCGCGAAGCAGATGATACAAGTCGTCTCGCCTCCGAGGGTCGACTCGGGCACGGCCGGGCGTCCCGTGTCGAAGCGGGCGTCGGCGAGCGAGACGATGGCGGGCGGCGGCGGCTCACCTGGGGGAGGCGCGGCCTCGGACGCCGCGTACGCCTCGGACTCAGGAGCCTGCTCCTCCGCCTCGCGCCGCGTCGCCTCCAGCCTCGCACTCTCCTCGAGCGCCGCCGCCAGCGCCGCCTCCTCCTCCGCCGCCTCCTCTGCCGGCGCCTCGGTCTCTTGCGACGGCCCAGCGCCGCCCCCGCCGCCCTTCTTCTTGCCCTTCTTCTTGCCCTTCTTCTTCTCCTTGGCGCACTTCTCCGACTCCTCCTCCGCCAGCAGCGCCGCCGCAGCCTCCTCGGCCGCCCTCTCGGCCTCCACCCTTTCTGCCGCCGCCCTCTCGGCCACTGCCCTCTCCACCCTCGCCTCAATCTCCGCTCTCTTCGCCTCCCTCGCCGCCGCCTCAAAGGCGCGCTCGCACTCGCTGTGGCCCTTCTCCTTGGCCCACTGCAGCGCCGTACGCCCGCCCGAGGTGTGTGGTGTGCGCGCCGCCGTGTCTGCGCCCGCCCGCAGCAGGCAGAGCACGACGGCGGGGTGGCCCTCCTGGCACGCAACGTGCAGCGGCGTGAAGCCGCGGCCCGTGGCTTGGTTGACCGCCGCGCCAGCCTCGAGGAGCAGTAGGACGCACTCGATGCGGCCCTGCTGGCACGCGATGAACAGCGGCGTGGCGCCGCCGTCCTTGGCTTGGTTGACCGCCGCGTCAGCCTCGAGAAGCAGCCGTGCGACGTCGAGGTGGCCCTTCTCGCACGCCATGTACAGCGGCGTGATGCCGTTGTTCTTGGCTTGGTCGACCACCGCGCTGGCCTTGAGGAGCAGCTGAGCGCACTCGAGGTGACCTTTATGGCACGCGACGATCAGCGGCGTGAAGCCGTCAACGTCTGCTTGGTTCACCGTAGCGCCGGCGGCGATCATCAGACGGACGCAATCAATCTGGCCAGCCAGGCTCGCAGCGCTCAGTGGCGTGGTGCCGTCATCCTTGGCTTGGTCGACCGCCGCGCCGGCCTCGAGAAGCAGCCGTGCGACGTCGAGGTGGCCCTTCTCGCACGCCCTGTACAGCGGCGTGGTGCCGTCCCTGGCTTGGTCGACCGACGCGCGGGTGCCGAGGAGCAGCCGCACGCACTCGAGGTGGCCCTTGTAACACGCGACGTACAGCGGCGTGACACCATCGTCCCTGGCTTGGTTGACCGCCGCGCCAGCCTCGAGGAGCAGCCGGAGGACGTCGACGTGGCCATTCTCGCACGCCATGTACAGCGGCGTGGTGCCGTTGTTCTTGGCTTTGTCGACCACCGCGCTGGCCTTGAGGAGCAGCTGGGCGCACTCGAGGTGACCCTCCTGGCACGCGACGACCAGCGGCGTGAAGCCGTCAGCGTCTGCTTGATTCACCGCAGCGCCGGCAGCGAGCATCAGACGGACGCAATCAATCTGGCCAGCCAGGCTCGCAGCGCTCAGTGGCGTGGTGCCGTCATCCTTGGCTTGGTCGACCGCCGCGCCGGCCTCGAGGATCAGCTGGACGCACTCGAGGTGACCCTTATGGCACGCGATGTACCCCGCCCAGAAGGCCTTCGAGTGCGCCGTTTGCAAGCAGCATAAGCCGGCCGGCACACCCTGCGTCGGCCACTGCAACCACAACCGAGCGCCATTGCAGACGGGACTCCAGTCTGGGACCGTACCTGTGCAGGAGATTGCACCGCACGTTACATATCGCCGCCGCCAGTGCAGCCCGCCGGCCCGCACGCCGCCGCCTCGTCTTCCGCTGGTCTCCCGACGCCTATGATGGTGCCGGCCCCGCCGTCGTCGAGCAATGCCGCAGGGGCTGGGTGGGCTCAAGGAGGATCGCAGCCGGCTGCGATCGCAACCGTGTTGCCAGCTGAAGCGGTGTCGCTCGGTGCGCTGTCGAACCCCGCATCGCAGCAGGCCATGTCTGCGACGGGTTTCGATGGTGTGACTGCACCAGACGGCTGCACCCGCACAGTCGAGAGCGGAGCAGGAGGCAAAGTACATGCAAACGGCGCAGTCCATTGGCTTGCCAGATAGCTCTACTGAGGCGCAACGGCTGCTAGCCATCTCCAACTTTGACCTCGACAAGGCGACCGAGAACCTGATGGTCGCGTATGTAGGGGTGGGAGGGAGCTGCGCCCGTTCCAAGGGCCAGACGCAACCCGGCGGCGGATATCATTCATTTCACGCGGCCTGCGCATCCGCCATGCCTCACGAGCGACGGTGCACGACGCGGGGCTGAGGCCCTCTTCATCCACGCAGTGCGTCCCGTCATGCCGCAGCCGCAGAATGATGGCTCGCTCCAGGGCGGAAATCTGGAGGTGTTTGAGTCACTGCTCAATGACCCGGTGGTGCTCTCGCCGCCTCGCGCCGAGACCTTTGTGCGACGACACATCAAGCCGGCCGACGGCATGTGGACGCAAGAGGCGATGGAAGCGGCGCGCACCGTCTTTGCTTGGCGGCGGTCGGGCTGAAATTCATCATCTTCAACCCGATCGTGACCCACCGGGCCGTCACCGCCACCGTCGCCTCCCCCTCCGCCACCTCCGTCGCCGCCGCCACCGTCGCCACCGCCGCCGCCGCCGCCATCGCCGCCGCCGCCGCCATCGCCGCCGCCACCGCCACCATCGCCGCCCCCTCCGCCACCGCCATCGCCGCCCCCATCACCTCCACCATCGCCACCGCCGCCCTCTCCGCCACCATCACCGCCGCCATCGTCACCGCCCCCCTCCCCTCCTCCGCCGTCGCCACCACCACCGTCGCCCCCCCCACCCTCTCCTCCTCCACCCTCGCCGCCTCACCGCCGCCGCCCTCACCGCCGCGCCCCAGCCCGCCGCCACCATCGCCCCTGCCGCCGTCGCCACCTCCTTCGCCGCCTCCCAGCCCGCCTCCGCCATCGCCCCCGCCCCCATCACCGCCGCCCCCCAGCCTGCCGCCGCCCTCACCACCGCCGCCCTCGCCGCCGCCCCCGAGCCCACTGCCGCCCTCGCCGCCGCCGCCCTCACCTCCTCCCCCGAGCTCACCACCGCCGCCGCCGTCTCCGCCGCCCTTCCCGCCGCCGTCACCACCACCTCCGAGGCCGCCGCCTTCCCCGCCGCCCTCCCCACCACCACCCTTGCCGCCGCCACCGAGTCCGCCTCCGCCAGCGCCGCCGCCACCGTCTCCACCGCCCTCGCCGCCGCCTCCGCCTAGCCCTCCACCCTCACCACCGCCATCGCCGCCACCGCCGTCGCCGTCGCCGCCGCCGCCGCCGCCGTCCCCGCCGCCGCCCTCGCCGCCTCCGCCGCCGCCGTCCTCACCACCGCCGCCCTCGCCGCCGCCCCCACCCCCACCCTCGCCACCACCATCACCACCACGGCCTTCCCCGCCACCTCCATCCTCGCCAAGAAAGCCTCGCGGACAGAGCGAACGGCGAACGCGCGAGCGTTATGAGCTCCGGAGAGTCAGGAGGCAAAACCGAATACAGTGCCCAAATGACAGACTCAATACTGGCCCTAAAATCCGCCAGCCTGCTGTCTGCTGCCTCTACTCCCAGCCCGACGCCCTGGTCCCGTGCGAGAGCTTCAGGGATCCACACGGGGCCACACACCGGGGCCGTCTAAGTCGATTTGTACCCGGATTTTGAAGATTGTGGCAAAACCGCGGAGTCGAAAAATGCGTTTAATTTGCGCGCCTGCTGTCCGCCGCCTCCGGCGGCGCTCCGCGCCGCTCCGCGGCGCCTGCAGGCGCCTACGGCGCCTGAAGGCGCCTCCAGCGCCTGCGGCGCTGCCGCTACGCGGCAGCTCTTGCGCCTACGGCGCAGGGCGCCTGCGGCGCCCACCCCCCCCCGGGAGCCCCCCTCCAGCCGCGGAGGGACGGGGGTGCTCTCGCGGGGGGTCCCTCCAGTCAAGGGGGTCTGGGGCGCAGCCCCAGGAAGCCCGCCGCAGGCGCCGATTTTTTGGGGCTTTTTTGACTGATTTTCATGAGGTGTTGCTACTATTTTGGGACCAGTTGAAGCCTAAAAATGGCTACAAATACAGTCACAGCAGCTGCTCGTCATGAGCTGCTACTGTGTGGCAGAGCCCAGAGAGAGGGCTTTCAGGAGCACTATTCAGTATGATCCAGCTCAACGCTGCGGAGTAGTAAGACTGTTCCGTTACCGTGAGCGGCCGGCGGCCGGCGGCGGCCGGTGCGGCACGCGGAGCACTCCGTGAGCGGTGACGGGTGCGGACGAGCGAATTAGAGGTCCCTTTTAGTGAGAGATAGGCAGTCCTAGTCTCTAACAACACATCTTCCACAGATAGCGACCTCTCATTCGCTCGTCCGCGCCCGTCACTGCTAGTCGGGGCACTCCCGGCGTACGGCCCGGTCCCGGTCGTCACTCCGGTTGCTCGTGTTCACACCGTCAGAACTCAGCTCCGCTAAGGATCCAGCGTCTGAGACTTGGGCATCTTACACAACTTTTGTAGTAGAGCACAATGGCACCCTTGGATCAAGTGGATCACTTCATTAATAAACCGTAATAGAGGTCCCCGTTTTCGGCCGCCGCGGCCGGAGAGCACCCCCGTCGCCCCCGGGGGCCCGTCGACCCCCCAGGGGCGGCCGCAGCGAACCGCTGAAGCCGAGTGTTGTGAAGATTACTATTACAACCTCCCTCGTTTCTTTTTTTCGTGTTTCTCTACAGCAAAAACAACCAAACTCCCTCTCGTTTCCTCTCTCTCTCTAGTTATCGTGGAAACTCCCCGTGGAAATCGTCAATGTTTTGGGCACTGAGCTGAGAACTGAGTCTGCGGCTGGTGTGGGCCCAAAATCAGCCGAACCGGCAAAATACCCCGGGTGTGTTGCGGGTAGCGCGGCTCGTCATCCTCCGCCTCGAGGGCGTCCGCCAGCGCGCTGCGCCGCACACCCCGGCGCACAGGAGGCGGCGCCGGCCGCACCTCGGCCGCCTCGGCGTCGCCCGCGGCACGGGCGCCATGCTCGCCGTCCGCGCGGTCCATCGCCGCATCCCCATCCCCGTCTGTGGCAGCGCCGCCTGCGCCCGCGCCGGCCTGCTCTGTGACGGCGCGCCACCGCTCGTCGTCCAGCATGTGCCACCACCGCCGATCCGTAGCCGTCGTACTCGACCTCGTGCACGATCCGTCCGTCTCCGTCCTCCTCCCGCGCCATGACGGTCGCAGGGTACGAACCACCGCTCACTGTCGCAGAAGATCTCGAGGCGCGATCCGGTGGACAGGACAGTGTTCTTGTCGAGCGCCGCCCTGGCATCCTCGCGCTTTCGCTTCCGCCGCTTCGCCTTCGTCTCCTTGCTGCGCAGCAGGGTGTAGTTCGGGCCCACCTCCGCCACGCTGTCCAGCACGTGGACGGCGCTCGCCATCTCGACCGCGTCGTCCTCCGGCGGAAGCTCCGCGTCGCCCGCGGCCGCCTCCCGAGCGCGCTCGTCGCGCATCCGTTCGTGGTGGGCCTGCCGACGCGCCACGCTGGCGCCCGTGTGCCTCGCCGCCGCGTCCGGCGACGCGGCATCGATGCTGTCCGCCCGAGCGTGACTCGCCACTCCACGACTCCACGACCCTCCACGACCGCCGAAAAGTTCTCCCACTCGCGCCCTCCCCAAACCGAGTCCTCTCTACAGTTACATACATATTCGACCTGAGCATCGGTTCCACCGCACCAGTTGGGGCGCAGGGCTCTGCCGGCGGCGAGCGCAATTCGCCATCCGCGCACGCGGCCTCTGGCGGTGGCGTCGGCTCCGAGCCTGGGCAAGAGCTCATGGGCGAAAGTTGCTCGCGCTGCCCAGTTCCGCCGAGAGCCCAAAAAAATTCCGCACTCGCGGTTCCTCCAACACGCGGTTCCTCCAACACGGACCGCGTGTATGGGGCAGCGTCGGCGAAAGCCTCCTCCTTTGTCGTCAACCACACGCAGCAGGTCTCCATGGCGGCGGTGGCGGGCGACGCTTGGAGCAGTAGTGTAAAATTCTCTGTGTTAGTGCCAGTGCGCGCCAGTCCCGTGCCCAGTGTTGTGCGAGGGAGCACTTGGAGCACTTGGAGTGCAGTCATTAGCCTCACATCCAGGGCCGGGGAGCTAAGGAGCGCACCCAGCGGGCCGGATGATCGGGATCGGGTTGCGGGCAAGAGAGCCCTAGCCCCGGGGGTGCGCGTTCGCAGGGCAAGAGATGGGTAAAATTCTCTTCTCGCGGCGCGGTAGGCGGCTCCCGTGGTGTACCTGTGTTAGTGCCAGTGCGCGCCAGTCCCGTGCCCAGTGTCGTGCGACACCAAACGTCAATCACCATGCTTGCGATTCTCGCCCTCGCGGGCGTCGCAGTGCCTGGCCCGCGCACGGCACACCTCGGTGCAACCACGACGCTCGCGCCGCCGCGCTCGCGGATCGCTGCTGCCGTGCGAAGAAACGGCAGCAGCCTTCCGGCGGGCGGCGCAGTCTGGCCGACGGCGATCTACTGGGCGATGTTGCAGGTTGGCACGCCGCCGCGAAGCTTCCCAGCGGCCATCGATTCGGGGTCGGGCGATCTCGACATCGCCGCCCTTGGCTGTGATGGCTGCGTCACCGCGCCACCCAATAATCAGTACGATCACGCGGCGTCATCGACGTCCAAGCCGGCGTTCCCATTCGTCTTTCGCAACACCTACGAGACGTGCGATCTCAAGCACCCCACCAAGCCGTGCTCGATCGGAGGCAAGCTGTACACGGACGTGGTGTCGATGGGCGGCCTCGGACCAGTCCCGGTCAAGCTCGGCGCCATCGAGAGCCAGGACACTAACTTCGACCAGTTTGCGCAGATCGACGGCGTGGTCGGCTTCACAAGTGGCGGCAGCGAGGACGTCTTCTCTCAGCTCGTCGCCGCCAAGGCGTGCGACAACATCTGGTCCATTTGCATGCACCGCGGCTCAAAGTCGAACGGCACCCTCACCCTCGGCGGCGTCGACTCTCGCCTGTCCGACGGACCAATGGTCTACGTGCCCGACGTCGGCCGGGGCTTTCGTGCGGTCCAGGTCGCCTCTTTCACGCTGGTGAAGAACACCTCGTCCGCCGCCGTCGCCGCGGGCACCGCTGTGCTGCCCGTCACGCTGCCCGTGCAGAGGAGCGCGATCCTCGACACTGGGACCAACGTGCTGCTGCTGCCGCCCGAGCTGCTCTCGCGCCTCGGCGAGGCGATGTGCGCCGACGCGAGCCTCGCCCACTGCCGCACGCTGTGGGGCGACCCGCTCTCGAGCAGCAGCTGCGTCGCGCTCAGCGAGGACGAGGTGGATGCGTACCCGTCCCTGCGGATGCAGCTCGACGGGACGGCCCTAGAAATGAGCGGTCGCGACTACCTGCTCCGGGGCTCGCCCCTCGCCTCGCACGGCGGCGAGTACTGCCTCGGCATCCGCTCCGGCGGGGAGCTCTTCATCATCGGCGACACGACGATGCGCAACTACCTCCTCGCGTTCGACCTCGGTGGTCGGCGTGTCGGGTGGGCACCAGTCAATCGCAAGCGGGGCGGCTGCGGCTCGGTCGACGAGGGCGAGGTGCCGGCAAAGCACGCGGTGGAAACGAGGGCGGAAATGCGGTGAAAGTCTCTCCACGAACCAATCTGGTGGGAGTAAATAAATTGGGAGAGGGATGGAGAACGCATAGGCACCTACGAGCCATAGTAAAGAAAGAAAGAAAGAAAGAAAAGACCACCCAAACGAGGGATGGGGGAGGAGGACAGGGGGACAGGTGGGGCGGCGGCTCTCCTGACAAGGGACACGACAGGCTCGCAGAGCGGTGCACGGTGGACTCACTCCACTGGCGGTCTCATCTCATTCTAGCGACCTGCCTCCAGCTTCTCGCTGGCAGTCTCTCGCTACCACAGGCACACTAGGCCTAGTAGTCCACCCGGGAAACAGATATTTTTCTTCTTCGCTGAGAATTTCGGCGTCTGAGAGTGCCCCCCCCCGTACAGCGGCATGAGCGGCGGCCCACTTGCCGAGTGGGAGGCGTACATGAGGTGGCTCGACGCGCCGGTGGCGGAGGGCGAGGACGAGGTGATCAGCCAAACCCCCCTCGGCCTCGCCGAGCTGGCCGAGGGCGACCTGACCTATCTGCGCGCCGTCCTCTCCGGGCAGGGGACGAGCGGCACGTCGCTCGCGGCAGGCTCGACGCGCGGCACGAAACCGAGCAGCAGGACACGCTGCTGACCTGGGCCGCTCGTCACGGGCAAGCCGAGGCGGTGCGGCTACTGCTCGAGGGCGGCGCGAGCGTGGGGGCGACAACTGGCGGCGGCGGCCCTGTGCTGTACGGCGGCGGCCACGCCTGGCCAGGCTGCCCACCGCTGTACCTCGCGTGCGAGAACAACCACGTCAAGATCGCCCGGCTGCTTCTCGAGGCTGGCGCGGCGGTCAACCAAGCAGGCTCTGACGGACTCACGCCGCTGTCCAGGGCATGCCAGGAGGGCCATCTCGAGTGCGCCCAGCTGCTTATCGAGGCCAGCGCGGCGATCGGCCAAGCTGCGGACGGTGGCTGGACACCGCTGTACGCGGCGTGCTGCAAGGGCCACCTCGAGATCGCCCGGCTGCTCCTCGAGACCAGCAGCGCGGCGATCGACCAAGCCACGCGGGATGGCATCACGCCGCTGCTCATCGCGTGCATCCAGGGCCACCTCGAGGTCGCCAAGCTCCTCTCCTCCTACGGCGCCTCCCGGCACGCCTATCAGCTGGGCACGCCCGAGGAGGTTGCTTTGGGCTCTTACGGCGGAGGCTTTCCTGTTCGCAAACACGCCGACCTCGCCGCCTGGCTGGTCGCCAGCCGCGGCTGGACGCCGCTCCAGCACCTCGAGGCGTGCCCGAGACTAGCGACCGAAAGCGTGAGTGCATTGTCCTCACGCTCACTGTCCCTCTTCCCGCAGGCGCTCACCGTCGACCGGGCGCGGGCGCTGCTGCGCGGCGGCGCGAACTCTTCGGCCGGCGAGCCGTCGGCCCTCGAGCGGGCGCGCGTCCTCTGCTCGTGGGGCGAGTCGGATCCGACAGCTGCGGCCGTTGGCTCCACTGTCGCGATCCACTCTCTCGTCTCGCGGCCGTCGATGAATGGCAAGGTCGGCGTCGTCGTCTCAGCGAACGTTTCGACGGGCCGTTTCGGCGTGCGCGTAGCGGGCGAGGCCAAGGCGCCCTCGCGCTCAGGCGCGCATTGCAATGGTCTCTCCCCCCCTCGCCGGATCCTCGCTTTGGACATCCCCCATGCCTCTCCCCTCCCTCAGGCCGGCCAACCTGCAGCCAGCGGCCGAGGCGGTGGAGGTGGGAAGGCTCATCCTCAAGGCGGCGGAGTGGTCGCCGCAGTCGCACGAGCTCTTCCCGGAGCCGGCTCGCAAGTGGGCGGTGGCAGTGATGCGGCTGGGCTACCTGATCGCGTGGGACGAGGAGCGCTTCGACGGCGAGGGGGCGGCGCCGGGGCTGGTGGAGCTCTGGCGCGGATTTGTGCTGCCAAGGGTGGTGGCGCGGGCCGCTGCCGCAGACGCACTGCGTTCCCCATGAAGCATGACGATACAGCAGCGTGTCTGCGGCAGCTGCCTGGGGTGGTGGCTGTGCTGGCTGGTGCGTCCCTCCGGACCCTCGGCTCGGGGCCTCGGCCCGGCTTTTCCTCACGTGAATCGCGCCATGAGATGTCTCAAGTTTCGAAACACGTCTTTGTGGATCTGAGAGTGTGCGCTAGTGACGACACGAGTACACATAAACAAAACCTGTTTCACTTAAACTCCACCACAAACTGCACAAACGTCTGCTCACCAACGTTGCGGACGCCGTGGCTGCTGAGCTGGTCGTGGGCCACAAAAGTCACCTGCCCCTCCTCCTGGTAGGCCGGCTCGCCCACCGCCCCGCCGTCGGGCGCGAGGGCCTGCGTTAGGCTCGCCTCCAGGTTGACAAAGGCGTACGGCCGCGTGTGCGTGTGGTACCTGCGTTGTGTCCCTGCGTTGTGATCGAACGGGCCACGAGTGCAGCGAGTGCCGCTGCATGCAGCTGGACACGATGGGGCACGTGTCCTCTCGAGTACAGCACTCGTCCGTATACAGACGGCCCCGCCTCCCGCATCTAGCGTGTGGTACGCGCACGCCTCGCCCGGCGTCAGCCGGAACTCCCAGATCGCCACCCGCTCGTCCTCGAGCAGCAGCCGCGTGCCGACGCCTGAGGAAAGGTCTCGGAAAGGTCTCGGAAAGGTCTCGGAAAGGTCTAGGAGAGGTCCAGGAAGCAGCCGCGTGCCGACGCGCGGCGCGGCGTCGCTGTGCGCGCGGCGCGGCGACAGCTCCTGCGGCAGCGTCAGCAGCAGCGCGCGCCCGCGGGGAAGGGCGGCGGCGGTGGCGGCGGCGGCGGCGGGGAGCGCCTCGAGCGGCGTCCCGGGCTCGTGGACCAGCCAATAGGCTTTGCCGCCGGCGTCGAGGGCCGCAGCGGCAGCGGGCTCTGCCGCGTCGGTGGCGATCTCGCCATACTTGCACTGCAAGCTGGGCAGGCGGGAGGGCTGCCGCTGCCGCTTCCGGAAGGCGACGCGGCGGATGGACCCGTCCGGCGAGAGCAGGTGGCCGATCGACTTGCACGAGGCCTAGGAATGGTCCAGGAGAGGTCTGAGGTCTAGGGAAAGTCTAGCAAGCGGCTGATCGATTTGCGCGCGTCCTGTAGTCTGACTACGCCGCCATGAAGGCGGGAATACGGTGTTGTGCGGTGTCGACAGTCTGACTACGCCACCGTCAGGGCGGGAGCACGGTGTTGTGCGGTGTATTCAGAGCGCCGTGTGAATACGAGGGGCTGCGAAGACAGTGAATACGGCTGCGGTCGAACACGGCGGAGTACGCGTCCTCTCGAGCGCCAGTTGGAAGACGAAGACCGGAGTGTGTTCCGCTTCTAGGGTCCGCCGCTCCTCGCCGAGATACGGGGAGATACGGGGAGATACGGGGAGATTTCTGCTTCTAGGGTCCGCCGCTCCTCGCCGAGGTACGGGAGATACGGGGAGATACGGGGAGATACGGGGAGATACGGGGAGATACGGGGAGATACGGGGAGATCCGGGGAGAGACGGGGAGATACGGGGAGATTTCTGCTTCTAGGGTCCGCCGCTCCTCGCCAACTACGCCGCCCTCGACCCAGACCACCCCGTCGCCCTCGCCCCGCACTGCGACCCAGCAGCGGCCTGATGTGTGGCAGCCTCTCTCTCTCCATCTCTCCATCTCTCCATCTCTCTGTCTCTCTGTCTGTCTGTCTCTGTCTGTCTCTGTCTGTCTCTGTCTGTCTCTCTCTCTCTCTCTCTCCCTCTCTCTCCCTCTCTCTCTGTGTGTGTGGGGTGTGTGTGTGTGTGCCAGTTGTTGTTGTCAGCATAGCGCAGCAGCAGCTCTGCATCTACCTAGCGGCCTGGGAGGAGCTGGCACCCCTCGGGCAGCGGGACCTCCTAGGAAAGGTCTCGGAAAGGTCTCGGAAAGGTCTCGGAAAGGTCTCGGAAAGGTCACCCCTCGGGTCTCCTCCTCCGCCGCGGCGGACGAGCAGAGGTCCCAGACCGCCCGCTGGCTCGCCCAGCCCGCTCCGCTGCCAGGAGGCACGCCCGTCAGTATGAGGTCGTCCCACGCCTGAGGAAAGGTCTCGGAAAGGTCTCGGAAAGGTCTAGGAAAGGTCGTCTTGTGTGTGTGTGTGTGTGTGTGAGTGTGAGTGTGTGAGTGTGTGAGTGTGTGAGTGTGTGAGTGTGTGAGTGTGTGTGAGTGTGTGTGTGTGTGTGTGTGTGTGTGTGTGTGTGTGTGTGTGTGCGTGCGTGCGTGCGTGCGTGCGTGCGTGCGTGCGTGCGTGCGTGCGTGCGTGCGTGCGTGCGTGCGTGCGTGCGTGCGTGCGTGCGTGCGTGCGTGCGTGCGTGCGTGCGTGCGTGCGTGCGTGCGTGCGTGTGTGTGTGTGTGGGTGCGTGCGTGCGTGCGTGCGTGCGTGCGTGCGTGTGCGTGTGTCTGTGTCTGTGTCTGTGTCTGTGTCTGTGTCTGTGTCTGTGTCTGTGTCTGTGAGTGAATGAGTGAGTCCTCGCATCTAGGCCTCCCGCACCCCGCCCAACGACTCGGCCGACGCCACGGCCTCTTGGCCGGAAAGCAGCTGCGTCGCGAGCGGCGGAGTGGCGCGGCGGCCCTCCACCGCCACGCTGACGCTGTGCAGCTCGCCTTCCTCGAGGCGGATGTCGATGCGGTGGCGCGACTCGTCCTGGCACAGGCAGAGGTGGACGCAGCCGCCGTCACAGCCGCCGCTCACGAGCGCCCACGAGCCGAAGGAAAAGAAGGTGGCGCCGCCGGCCGCACGGTTCAGATACAGGTCGTCCTCACCAAGGCCTCCGCACTCGCTGACGCCTTGCACCGCGCCGCCGCACGCTCGCATCACCTCTGACACGTGGTGAACGCTCTGTGTCGCCCGAGGCGGCCCGGACCCTGCCGGTGAGTGCCGAAAGACTGCACCTCGCCAAGTTCCGGTCGCGTGGTCGAGGAACGTAGAGAAGTCGGGGCCGGCGTGCCGTACGGCGAGCGGGGCCGCAGCGAGGAGGAGCATTTTGTGATTGTGAAGGAGCGGCGGCCCAAAGGGTGGGGGTATCTTTCTTTTACACTCCGAAATTTAAAAACCCGGTGCGAACTGGGCGTGCTAGCACTATCACAGGCACACCACCGGAGCCACCTAAGCGACTCCGTTAAGAAGAATGCAAGCCATTCTTTCTTATGCGGAATCGACCTTTTCCAGTACTGAAATGATCGAGAGGCACCCAGCGAGGTCTCGGGAAACCTTCAGGGGGGCGGGCACGTACCCGCAGAACGGACAAATGCACGAGCCAATGGAGGTCGAGGACGGCGAGAGCTGCACCGTGTGCATGAGCCGCCCTCGCAGCGTTCGAAACCAGCCATGGTGGAAGCGAAAGCACAGAGTACTACAGCTGACACCTCGGGCGTTCACGGTACATACACAGTCGGCACAAGCTTGTAATCGCTCCTCACTGGACGCGACTACGATGACATACCGCAGCGCTGCGCGTAAGCTGGAGCGACCGAGAACCGAGGACGTAACAGTCCGCCCCAACCCAACGACCCGGATGATTCCGCGTGGCGCGTGGGGGGCTGAAGTGGCCCGCAAATGCGAGAAATGCCGAAATGCGCGGTTACAGCGCAGTTGGGCGTTAACTCGGAATGCATGAAATCAAGCAACGCGGAACACGAGAAGGCTCCCTCGCGTGCCCTGTTCGCGACTCGCAACATGGCCGCGTCCCAGATTTCGCCACGCCGGACGCCACGCGCCACGCCGCGCGCCTGGGAAGAAACAACTCCGTGTAAAACTAAATGGGCCCAGCGACAGCATAGAGCTGTGCTGGTCCGCCGAGCTGTGTGTAGAGGTGCGTTTGGGTGTCAATTCATACGAAACGAACGTACAGACAGCTACGCTGGCGGCTATTAAGCTCTGGGGACCCATTGTGCATTGATTGGTCAGACCAATGACTAGAGTTGCGATAACTCTGCGCTGCGCGGCGACAACCGACAGCAAGGGCGTGGGGAGCAAAGGGGGCGGGGGGTGTGGGATAGGGGGACAAGAAGAGGGGACAAGCCCAACACACACGCCCGTCTCACCCACCTGCCGTTCACCAACTGTGAATGTGTTGTGTGGGGGGGGGGGGGGGGGCGACCATCCCGCTCGCGGCGTCCGAGCGCCGTACGAGTGGCTGACTCCGCTTCGCCGTGTGGCAGGAGTTTGCAGAGCCAGTCTTTGCGGGCCCGATGAGCATCCTCGACTTACCACCGGACGTGATGTCTGTCATCGCCCGCCTGACGCGCACGCACGGCACGCTCTTTTGTAACTCATCGGCTGCGTGCTCGGTCGGTCGGCTGCGGGGAACCTGCAGGACCCTGTGGGGATCTGTCCAGCTCGGGTGGTCACAGCTGCTGCTCGAGCGCGACCACGTCCGCCAGAAGAATGAGCGCGCTGACAAGAAGTACTGGATTGACCGCGCGATTGCCGAGATCACGAAATCACGTAAGGTGGTGCCCTGTGCTGAGCTGCCCGGCGCTGTTGCGCAGCGCCTCGCCGGTCGAGTTCAGCACGTTTACGATCATGAACCCATGCACCAGCTCATCATGGAAAGAATCGATGACAGAGTGCGCAGAGAGTGCCTTGAGCAGAGAGCTGGCGAGCAGCTGTATCGCTATCTTGCTTAGATCTAAAGCGTGACGTCGCATGGCTCATGTGTGCTGTGGCGTGGGCTGGGTGGGCTGGGCGGTGAGGCACAGTGCGCTATCATTTGTGGCACTTGCTTCCTGAGAGGGCTCTCTTGTTTTGCATGCGCGTGTTTAGCGCCAGGTTTAGCGCGTGATAGTTGTGTTTTTAGTACTGCGCAGTACTCAACGATGTGCCGTGGCACGGTACATGCATGCTCGGCAGCACAAGCTGTGTAATCGCTGTACCTCACTGGACGCGACTACGGCGACATACCGCAACCGCAACGCTGTGTGGAAGCTGAAGGCCTGTTGTCTGTTGAAGCGTACCGAGAATTATGAATTACCGAGGACAACAGTCAGCGCGTACAGTTGTAGCGCGTACGGGGCAAATTTGGCGTACACTTTTGGCCCTCCAAGGGGTCTGTGCCCGGGTTGGCCCGCCGTGTACGGTTACAGAGGCAGCGCGCGTGTCGCGAATTGCCACACGCCCTCGAGCGCGATAAATAAATAAAACGGGCACGCCAAACGAGGGGTGGGAGAAGGACCCTCGAGCGCGAGGTCGGAGACTTTTTTCTTTTTGCGTGATGCTTGCCGCTGATGGACGACGAGCTGCTCTCGATTGGGCAGCGCTGCGTCGTGTCGGGCCTCGCCTCGCGCGCCGAGCTAAACGGCCGCGGCGGCAGCATCGTCGGCTATGACGCCCAGACCGGCCGTCATCTCGTCAACGTGGACGGGCAGGAGGGCAGCAGCAGCTTCTCGCTCAGAGCGGCAAACGTCGGTGCCGCCGCCGCCGAATCGTCGCTCGAGCCATCTCGGATGGCGTCGCTCGAGCCATCTCGGATGGCGCCGGTCACCGTGCGGAGAGCGTGGCGCTCGTACCTCGGAGAATTTGACGGCGACACCGAAGACGAGGACGAGTACGTCGCTGATGTCCGCGCGGCGAAGCGGCAGAAGGCCGCCGCCCCCGCGCAGAGGCGCGACGTGGTGACACTGCACCCGCGCGGGAGCCGCGCCGTCACCGTCGTCGCCACCGCCGACCTGCACCGCCACCACGAGGAGGAGTACATCGGAGGCCTCTCGCTCGCCGGCTGGTTCGAGTCGGACCGCTCTCCGGCCCACGTCGACGTCTGCCTCTTTGCGGGCGACGTCGGCCTCGAGACGGAGGCAGAGAGCACCTCGCGCGCGCAGACGAGGCGCGACGGCGAGAGACGCGAACTGCTGCTGACTCAGCTGCCTGCTGATGACCAGTCATGCCCTAGTTAGGCCCGACGGAGCGACGCTCGACTCGTGGCGGCGCCTACTGGGCCGGCTGCTCGCCAGGGAGTGTCTAGGAAGTGTCTAGGAAGTGTCTAGGAAGTGTCTAGGCGCCTCCTGGGCCGGGTCCTCGCCGCAAAGCCGGGCATGCACGTGGTGCTCGTCGGAGGCAGCCACGACGGGCTGCTTTGCCGGCGCCGCCGCCTCTGGCACCCCTCTCGGAACTTTCTCGGACCCTTCCCACAGGCAACCACGACGGACTGCTCTGCCGCGACGCCGACTGCCTCGCTTGCGCGCGCCTCGCGCGCCACGACCCGGCGGCCGCGCGGCAAGGTGGCGAGGCCCCGCCGCTGCACGACGAAGGCAGGGCTGCGGCCAGCCGCCTCCGCCGCCTGCTCTCGGGCTTGCCCGGCGGGCGGGTACACGTTCTGTGCGACGAGGCGGCGAACTAGCCGAGAGACCGCCGAGAGACCGCCGAGAGATAGCCGAGAGATAGCCGAGGTATAGAAGCGTGTGAACCATAGTTGATGACTACAGGCGGCGGACCTCGACCTGCCCTGCGGTGCGGCGCTGCGCGTGGTTGGGAGCCCGTGGACGTCGTACGACACCGGCGGCAAGGCGCGCACCTCCACCATATCTCCCCATCTCTCCCCATATCTCCGGCAAGGCGCGCACCTCCACCTCTCCCTCTTTGCATCACCGACCTCTCTCCCATCCTCACCTCTGCTGCATCACCGACCCACCTCTACCTCCTCCCTCCCCCCTCCTTCCTCGCCCGCCCCTCTCTTCCCCCTCCCCCTCATAGGCGCACCAGTCCATCTCCCACCACTGGCGACCCGAGGGCGGCTTCCTTTTCGGCGGCGTGCAGCTGCAGCAGCGCCTCGACTGCGCCGCCTGGTGGCGCCGCCACTGGTGCGAACCCACTAGCTTTGGTGATCGCACCCGCTCCAATAGAAGCCGGTCGATGGCCAGCTGCCCTTCCTCCACTCACGGCGCCGGCGCCCCCTCGCACGTAGCCGTGGCTGCTAGACGTCTCGCCGCCATCCCCAGGTGCCGCGTCGGCCACCTCCTCTCGGCGCGCGAGACGGCAGGCGGGCCCTCAGTCTGGCCCCCTATAGCCCACCACACCACACGTGTCACTCGATCGCATGCCTGTGCGCTCGCCGACATAGTCCAGCGCCCGAGCACATCTCAGAGAAGGACGTCAACACTCACTCCTCTCGGCGCGCGAGACGGCAGGCGGGCGGACACACACACACACACCGCCCACCCACGCGCACTGGGCCTTGCACTTTGAATGCCGTGGGGCTCCTGTCGTCTAGACGTGGAGACGCGAGGGTCGCCCGGCCCTCGCCCCACCACCTCGTGTGTGTGGAGAAGTTGACCTTACCTTGCCTCAGGCGGGCGGCGGATCGCGGGCAGCTTGCTCTGCACGCACACCCCTCCGCGCGGCGTGCTCGACATCGTGGGCGGCGGCAAAGACAACGGGGCGGGCATCCGGAGCAGGCGACGGTCAGAAGAGACATACGCCCGCGCGGGCGTGTCCTCTTTTCTAAGGGGCGGCCCTCCGGAGCAGGCGGGTGGGCTGCGCGGCGCTGCGCGAGATGCTCGAGGGGCTCGAGCGGCCGCCCGTACTCCACTGCTTTGGGCACGTGCACGCTCGCCAGTCGGAGGGCGAGCCGGCGGCGGGCCCGCGTGGACATGTCAAGACACGTCCGTGACATGTCCGAGACGCGTCCACAGGCGAGCCGGCGGCGGGCCCGCGTGGACATGTCAAGACACGTCCGTGACATGTCCGAGACGCGTCCACAGGCGAGCCGGCGGCGGGCCCGCGCCTCGCCGCCTCCAAGCGCTGCGCGGGCACCCTCTTCGCAAACGTGGCTGCCGAGCGGCAGCTGCCCGAGATCACAGGCTTCCGGCTCGCGCGGCGGGGCGGCGGCGCGCTCGGCGCGGGTGGCGGCGCGCGCCTCGCGCTGCCGGCGCCGGGCGCTGCGGCGGGCGCGCTGCCGGCTGGCGTGCTCACGATGCCTCCGATCTCCGCCGCCGACTACGCGCGCGTGGTCGAGCCCGAGTCGCTGCTGATGCGACCGCCGACCGTGCTAACTCTCCCGCTAAGCGGTTGGGCCTGCGATTGCGAGAGCTGGCGAGAGTTCTGGGAGCTGTCCGTGGGCAGCGTGGATGGCGACGCCAACGGCAGCCGAGAAGATGGGCTCTAGAGCAATCTACAGGTCAGGTAAGGTAAGGTAAATATTTCTCCACACACACACATACCTTCTCTTGAAAACAAGTTATTTAGGAGCACCCCCCTACCGCCACCCAGTACGTGCTCCGCAGCTGAGCCCACGCACCCCACAGCAGCTCAGGGACACAATGAGCTCGCATGCAAGTGATGGTACGCACAGCTCGACGCGTACTCGAATGCTACCACTGTCATTCTAGCCGGCGAGCGGCGGCGTCACAGCGTCGACTCTCGCATCGCGATGTGACGCACTGCTTGCCCAGACGCGCGCCTTGGCGCGCTCCTGTGGTGCAGGAGGAAGGCCAGCGGTCATGCTGCGCAGGCCCGGCCGTCTGGCTGAAGGGAGCAGCAGCTGTGGCGCTCAGCAGCGCTGCTGGCGAGCAGCGCAGCCACACCACACTCCCGCCAAGCCACGTGTCATTTCGCGCCAAGATTTGGCGCCAAAATGGCACTTTAGTGTCCACCTAGCCACGTGGTCGCGGCCTGAAGCTCCAAGCTTCTGGGAGTGAGGTCCCACATCACAGGGCTCCATTTGACTCAGTTGGTGGCACCGTCCAATCGTTCGCCGATATCCGAAACCGGGGTGCTCCTAAATAACTTGTTCAAGAGAAGGTAAGCGATTACGCGCACACACACAAAAGGTGCGAGCCCGCAGGCGAGCCGAGCCCTCCTTTTAGGAAGTTTAAGAAGAAAACCTGCCGCGCCGCGCAGCAGCCTCCCCAAGCCCAACGAAATCAGTAACCAGCCTCCGGCGGGGCCCCCGCTACCATCCAAACCCGAGTACATAGATGGGCCCAGGTAGGAGGCTCCACACCACCTGACTCGCGTCGTGCCACCTGAAAGCCACAAAATGCCGGATTTTGCACGAGACACACGCGGAAAGCGCCACGTGCCTCCACGAGTCCTTTGCAGCTTTTTGCACAAAATGCAGGTGGCTTTAGCCACTTGCTCCATGAGCAAAACAGTCCCCAAAACACCTGGAGCAGATGGCTTACGCCGCCTGTGGACATGGACAAAACCGTGCAAAAAGCACCTGGAGCAGATGGCTTACGCCGCCTGTGGATGGCTTACGCCGCCTGTGGACATGGACAAAACCGTGCAAAAAGCACCTGGAGCAGATGGCTTACGCCGCCTGTGGCCATGGGCAAACAGTGCAAAAAGCACCTGGAGTAGATTCCAAACGCCGCCTGTGGCCATGTGACCGCTCGGGTGGCGCCAGGTGGCTTCGCCCCCCTCCAAGCCACCTGCCCCCCCTCGCCACACCTGCCTGGAGGGCTGGAGCACGTGCGCCACCTGGGCCCGGGCAGGTGGCTCCAGGTGGCTTCGGCCCCTCCAAGCCACCTGCATGCCCCCCCTCGCCACACCTGGAGGGCTGGAGCACGTGCGCCACCTGGGCGTCACTTCGGGAATTTCATCGTGCGTGTTCTTTTGAATAGGAATGTACTATACACCGCCTCGGCACCACGAGCCGCCCCCGCCGCGCCTCCACAATCCACTCTCGCAACTCTACCGCGCAGCCGGCACACGACGTCGGCGAGGCCGACAAAGCTCTGCATGGCCTGGTTTATCGGGGATCGAGTGATGGCGTATTATTGGGCAGTCTTCTCATTGGCGAGTCAGGCTGCTCAGCGTCGGCAGCAACGGCGCGTGAGCAGCGCAGCCACCGGCTCCTGCGGCGTTTGCAGCCACACCAAACGCCCGCGCGGGCCGGGTTGAAGCCCCAGGCTTATGTCGACGCCGGACATTGATTGTAGCCGCCGATGACCGCCGCAGGCCCTCATTCACACACCCCACAGTCCCAGTTTGCAGCGCGGGGAGGAGCGGGGCGGCTCGCGTTTGGCAGGCCAGCCCTTCCGTGGCTCGGATTTTCCGTTTCCGAATTCAAACTTGCGCCAGGCAGGTGGCGCACGTGCTCCGGCCCTCCAGGTGTGGCGAGGGGGGCGGGGCAGGTGGCTTGGAGGGGCCGAAGCCACCTGGAGCCACCTGCCCAGGCCCAGGTGGCGCACGTGCTCCAGCCCTCCTCGTGTGGCGAGGGAGGGGGGGCAGGTGGCTTGGAGGGGGCTGAAGCCACCTGTTGCCACCTGCCCAGGCCCAGGTGGCGCACGTGCTCCAGCCCTCCACGTGTGGCGAGGGGGGCGGGGCAGGTGGCTTGGAGGGGGCCGAAGCCCTTGGCGCCACCCGAGCGCTCACATGGCCACAGGCGGCGTTTGGAATCTACTCCCGGTGCTTTTTGCACTGTTTTGCCCATGGCCACAGGCGGCGTAAGCCATCTGCTCCAGGTGCTTTTTGCACTGTTTTGCCCATGTCCACAGGCGCGGCGTAAGCCATCTGCTCCAGGTGCTTTTTGCACTGTTTTGCTCATGGAGCAAGTGGCTGAAGCCACCTGCATTTTTGTGCAAAAGGCTCTAAAATGGCCGAAATCCCTTGTGGCGCACGTGGCGATTGCCACGTGTGCCTCGGCTAAGAGGCCTCTCCAGGCGAGAGTCAGGTGGCACGACGCGAGTCAGGTGGTGTGGAGCCTCCTACCTGGGACCATCTCTCCCCGAGTACCGGTCTACTAATCATAGATATAGAGGCTCAAGAGTGACATAAGTCCACACACATACGACATACACATACACAAAGCAACTCTCACGACACACGGGCACCGGGTGGAGAGCGGCGGCGGCGGCGGCAGCAGCACGCGCGGGCGGACGGATTCGGACGGGGCGGAGCAGCGACTGCCTGGGCGGCCGCTGCTCTGTCTGCCAGAGCGCGCCGTCTGCCTGCGCAGCTCGTGCTCGAGGCCTCGAGCGCGGTCAGGTGCGCTGGACGCGCGCTCTGTGCAGCGGCGCAGAGCGCGCGTCCCTGGCACAGACGGAGCAGCGACCGCGCCAGCGGTCGCTGCTCCGCCCCTCCGTCGCGCGCGCCGCGCGCGCGCTGCCGCCGCGATCCAGACTTGCAAAGGGCAGGCAACAGCGCATGTGCTCGGTGTATGGACGAGCCGAGATGGGCTCGCGGCAGCAGCAGTGGCAGCAGCAGCAGCAGCAGCAGCAGCAGTGCCATCACCAGCGCTACCAGCGACGGGGTTTGCCCGGAATTGGCCTTGTGTCGTCTAAGTTCATGGCCCCCGACCATACAGCGTCTAAATCTGAGCCCAGCTCCGTGCGGGGGCTAAGTTGAGCGCTCGCTCGCTGCAGAGGCTAAGAGTAGAGCGACCCTCTAGCCCTACTCCCCAACCATTCCACTGCGTCCACAGAGACGACCAGCGGACACGTCAGTGTACTCGCGTTGGAGAGAGTTTTCAGTGCATGTAGTCTTACGACGACAACACTGGGCACACGCACGGGACTGGCACGCCGCACTGCACTGACACAGGCGTACACCGCCCAGTGCGAAAAAGAATGTTTACTTAAAACCGGCCAGGCCGCAGGCGCCCCAGGGCCCCCACCCGTTTCAGCCTAGGGGGGCCCAAGGGCGAAGCGCAAGCGCGGGTCCTCGGCTCGTTCGATTGCGACGGCTATCGTCTCCCGGGTCTTGTGGCATTGAGGTAGAAGCTGTTGCTCGTCGAGCACTCCTCGCGGTGGCCATGGCTATGCAAGACGACGCCGCTCCACGTAATACGACAAGTGGACTGCGTGCGGTAAACCACTTTTACCCTTCCGGCGAGGCTGGCATTGCGCAACATATGCGTCATCTCGCACTCGGCGTTGGGGCGGCCTATGTTCGGCGGGCACGTCCAGTCAACCCTCTCCCGGTCGATTGCTTGAGGCCGGAAGACTGTGAAGTCGGTCAAGACGCGCCACCCCGGGCTGCAGGTGCCGACGACCGCGTCGTACCGCCCACTCACCATGTGCGCGTAAAAGGGCGAGAAATCGAGCACCGCCACGTCGGGGTTGAGTCGGATAACCCAATCAAAGTCGCGGAAGAGGCGGCGCGAGGACGGGTTGGCCATCGCTTCGATGGCGCCATCCTGCTTTCTGGCGCCGGTGCCGGCGCGAGGCGACGACACCGATGCGAGTGGGAAGTGGGTCCGCAGCCACGCGACGCGCTCTGCGGGGACGAAGAAGTGGAGGTGGGCTGCCGACAGGGCCGGGTGACGGCGACGAAAGGAAACCGGCGAGTCGTCGCCCCAGCAGGGGGTTAGCAGGAGCTTTGCGTGTGCGTCGCTGAGGTGCGTGGTGACGTAGAGGACGACTCGCATCAACAAGGGCACGATCGGCGTCTCTGATGGATGTGGTGGGGCGGTGGCGGTGGCGGCGGCGGTGGCATTGGTGACCCCCGCATGAGTTGTTCGCTTTACCTGGATGGACGGCAGTCGAGGATGCAGCTTCATTGGCGCGAGGCTGGCGGGTGGCGTAGAGTCGCCACCAGCTGCGGCGAGGACAGCGCCACTGCTGCCGTGATGCTCAACGCCGTTGCCTCGGATGTAGTTGCTGCTGCCCCGCAGGATGCACGCCACGTCCGCCCGTGATTCGCACACCCGACCCGTGCTCAAGATAGCGGGCACGCAGCACTGGCGTGGCCCGCCGGGGCGACCGGAGCAGCCGCGTCCGCCGCACAGCCCGCACGCAGCGCTGCAGCAGACCTTGCGGCTTGGGTCCTGAACGCCGGCTGAGCAGTTGGCGAATCGAGGAGAGGAGGCCGTGTGCTCCACGGGGCTGACGGTGAGGTTGAGATGGTGGTGGAAGACCAGGCGGTGCGCCTTGGCCGACGGCGAGAAGGACGAAAACATCTCGGGTGGGTCGGTGGCGAGGACACAAAGCGCGATGTTCAGGCCACTGAGCATCGTTGTAGAGCGCACGGGTGCGATTGCTGTAGCTGGGCGAGTGATGTAGATCCTTGCGCAAGAAGACAAAAACGGCGACGCGCCAAATCGCGACGTGCCAAATGTCGGCGGGCGACACGACAAAATGAATTTAATGCGGCTCGAATGCACGACCCTGG